ATATTCTGTATGTTTATTCAAGCACTAATAAAAGACATAAATTTCCTAAACATTCTAATTCAAAAGATTCGTTTGATTATCAACTACGAAAAACTTCAATTAAAGCAAATATAAATAGCAAGCAATCAACGAAGAACAAGTAGGATTTAAGGAGCTAGGGAGTCGGGGATATCCGTTTTGGTTCGAAAATGTAATTGTCAAGCAAGAGATTGTTCAGTTAAGTGATTTGACTAATCGACAAGTTCAAGCACTCATTCTCAATAACTTTTCGTAACAAGAGAACAAACTAGAACGGCAAATTAACAATTCATTTAACTTCTAGGCAATACAGTTACGAACAAGCCTAGTTCATACGAGCCTATTTCGACCGACTCCTCCCCTTTCGGTTCTAAGAGTCGATTTAAGTAGACTAGAGGGTGGTTAATTGACTAGTCCGTTAAGAGTTAAAAACATCAAGCACGAATTTATCGAATTCAATCCAAACAATTGCAAGTTGAAGTGTCACTCTTCAACAATTCTCAAAACTCAAGCTAAAAATTGAAAAACCCTAATAAAAGATTAACTCGTATGAATTTGAACACCCTGAGCCCGACAATCACAAACGATTTCAAAACATCAATCCCCTATCCCTAGCATATGAATTTAGCCACTCATCATCAATTCAACACCAACATCAATATCAATCAAAGCCATCATCATCACAGATAAAATGAAATAGAAAGCTTACGATTAAATATGAATCAATGTCGAAAGAACAACGAACAATCCAAATCCACAAGTCGAATCTTGGTGTTTTCACAATCCAAGATCAATTCCAAGTGAAAGATAAGAGAAAACTAAGTTCTGGAGTGAAAAAAGTACGAGAGAATGAAAAAACCTAGAAGGAAGATAATGAAAAACTGATCAAAAATCCGAAATAAAAATCTGCTCGTCACGACTCCCGCGGCCGCGACTTCCTCCTCCGCGGCCGCGGTGAAGAAATCTCGCGGCCGCGACCATCTCCGAGGCCACGAGCTCGACTGGCCAGAAATGGGCGTTCTGGGACTCTCGCGGCCGCGGTGAAGAAATCTGGGCAGCTGCGCGCTGCTTTACGTTCGAGCTCGTTTGGGCTCGTCCGAACTCGGAATTGAGTTCCGTTTTTTGCTATGCGTCACCAACGAAGCCATCTATCCAGTTATGCTCTCAAAACCAACTTTTCCTGAAGAGAAAATTCGCCCGAAGCTCCTGACCTACACACCAAAAACCACAAAACACAAAAGAAAATCGGAAAAACAAACGAAAAACACCTAAAGACTCAAGATGAAGGAAAACATATAATAAAACACGAAACGGACTAAAAACTAAAGAAACGACCTAAAACGGGGGAAAAAAAAGATAAAATAAACATGAAAAACGCAACAAAAGTGAGACAAACAAGAAGCAGGGTAGATTGCTGTCGTTCAAAACGTGAGACCACTTGAGAGGGTCGAGGCACAACAACTCGAGGCCCCAAGGGTTGTTCGATCTTAAGTGCAGGAGAGAGGACAACTAGAGAATCTCGGGGGACCTTCGACAGGATGTCCACAGAGGGGATCAACTTGTTTAACTTACAAGAGCGGAGTTGGACATGATCATAACCGATGCGGTGGTCCAAGCTAGGAGCTGCCACCTGTCAACCAGGCTGCTCATCAGCTGCAGTTTGATCGACGAGCTAAGGAGGAAGAAACCATATCTACTAATTCCCCAAGAAGTATCCCGACCCGCGATGCATCCATGCCACTTTGGAGAGGATGGTGGCTCAATTATGCGAGCTGCAAGCAAGGGTATAAGGCATGCCAACACTAGGAATTCACGGACACACGTTTGTCGATGAGGTGTTGAAAGTCGACTTACTAATTAACTTTCGTGAGTTTAGCTTACACAGACATTTAGATTTTAGATCCAATTTATTTTCTATTTCGTTTTTCTTCCCGTTATAGTGAAATTAAAACCAAACAAAGTAACATGTGTGGTCTAAGCTAAATTATGTCTCAATTTTTACCGAAAAGTGACAACTTTCCATTTATATTCTATTTAGCTTTTGAGAAATCATTGCATTTTCTATCTTTAATATTAAAAAAAAAAAAACTACTCAAACAAGATAAATGCATGTGGCCCATTGTTTTTCTCTAGTAGCAAACAAGATGAGGCGTATGTGGACAAATATAGTCAATCTTCTCTCAAGTAAATAAGGCCTCATTTACTAGAGAGGATGAGATTGACAAATTTAATCCCCACATTTTGCCACATCAGATTTTATCCCATATTTACTAAACATGATAGTATCTTCAACAAACTCAATCATCTATTTACCATCACTGATACAAAAGCTTTGTGTAAAATGACATTACAATTTTACCCTCCCAAATTCTTCATTTTGACGCCACCACGATCGGGATCTGCCATCGTTAGGGTTTCTTCTTTCTGTTCAAACATTGCACCAATCTCTGGAGCTCTTGACATTGACCGACTCCGTGACGAGTAAGACGACCAGAAGTTGAGTCCAACAGAGGAGGACGACGCCGGCAGGAATTGGACGGCCTAAGACGACGACAACACTTTGGGCTGTTGAGTGGAAGCCGGTTATAAAGGTACATTTTTAACAGCATTGACATGCTTTTATTTTTCGTTCCCCTTTTGATGCTTGAATTTATTCATATTTGGGGCACATAATTAGTTGTGGTTGAATTGATTGGGATTTGGGCAATTGAATTACTTGTGCTTGAATTGATTCAGATTGAATTAGTTGTGAATTTTGTGTTTTCATCCTTTTCTTCTACTGCATATCCGTGTGGATGTATTATTTGGGCCATGTTCTTATTTTGCAACTGAGAAAGGGTGTTCGGTTGCTAACACCCTGTTGTTAGGATTTTAGGTTTGCTCCCCATTTCAATTATAAACTTCTTCAGGCACAAACATTGTACACACATTGAGTCCTAAACGACTCCAATCCCAAAGGAGGCCGACAGTATCAGATTAATTTGCATGATATACATACTGTTGTTCAACTTATTTGAGGTAGTGGCTTTGCTTTGCCGTGACCTTGTGAAAGTGTACAAAAAAAACTGATAGTGTTTCCACAAACATTGTTTTATCTTGGTGATCTCAATTATTTTTCTTCATACGTGAAGTCACAGGCCATTGGCAAAATTTATTGTGAGGCCTATTCTTCTGTGAACAATCATCTCTTCACATGCAAACACATTGTCTCACCAAATTCTTCCTCACGATTCCTAACATAGAAAAAAATGACCGCACCCCAAACATTGTCATTATGCAATTTAATTGATGGTTACTGTCATTTCATCGTGTAATGTAGGCATTAATAGGTTGTGTTCGTGTATCTCTGTCAAATCAAATGTGCCAAAAATATTCATAAAAAAAAGACAAATATAGTCCTATCAGATAAACAACAATAAAAACTCATAAACTGTTACTCAAATGAACTCCTACCATCCTTCGAATTCCGACATGTCGTGAACCGTTGGCCATGGTAGATTATTAGTCATACATGATACATGAAATTTAAAACTCCTACCATCCTTCGAATTCTGGAAAGGCGTGAACCGTTGGCCATGGTAGCTTATTTGCCATACACGGTAAATAAAAATAAAACGCTGCATGAAAGAAGCCTAAAGACGGAGCCATTTTTTTGTTCATTGTCATCTCCTATTTTTTGTTCATTGTCATCTCCTAAAGACGGGGAGAGGCTAGGGTTTCTCTTTCTCGCAGACGACGAGAATGGAGGAGAAGCAGTAATTAAATGACCAATTTATGTAATAAAGATGAAATGAGGGGGCAATATGGACCAAAAAAGTAGGTTTTTTGGACATAATGGTCATTAAAATGGATGGATAAAAAAATCTGCCCCTTTTGGCCTGATGCATTTGTCCGGACACGCAAGCATTTAAGCCGTGGGACCCGTCCGCCACATGGTTATTATCACTATCCCTGTCTTTCCTAGTAAACACGTGACAAGGTTGGATAAGGGGGGTAATCCTATCCTATCCCCTCTAGTAAATGACGCCTAAGTAATACAATACATACCGGCAAGACTCCAATTTTTTTATTTTTATTTTTTATTTTTTTTAATCGGTACAATACTCTCCATTTTTTATCGGTACATCACTATTCACTATACATTCTACCTATTCATTCTTCAACATGTCTGCATTTTCTTAACAGAATCGAGGTCAATTAGACATGGCTGTTTATGCAGCCGTGCTTTCCCTGATTCATACCATAGATCAGATTCAGAATCATCCCCGCCCTCCGATTTCTCTCAACACAAGACAGGTTCAGTCTCTATATGAAAAACTCAAATTCTTGCAAAACTTTCTCGAGAATTATTCCATTGATGATGCTTCCCGCAAAGATTTATTAGAGGGCTTGGAGAGTCGTATAGTCGATGTAGCATATGAAGCAGAGGATATAATTGAATCCCATATAGCCGGACAGAATGAAGCTGCAAAAGCCAGAAGGACTACTAAGAAGGAAAATATTAGTCCTATTGACTTGTATCAAGGTCTCGAGAAAGTTTTGTCAAACTTAGATCTGATCGAAAGAGACGTGAAGGAAATTATACAGCATAAAGGAATTCAACTGCAAAGAAATTACTCAATTCCAACTGGTCGGCCGCCTATATCTCCTTCAATGGTGGGTCTCGATGATATATTGCACGAAGCCATGGATAAGCTGACCGGCCAACAATCGAGTCGCCAGGTCATCCCATTGTTGGGATGGGTGGGATTGGTAAGACAACTCTTGCTAGAAACATATATGTAAATCCGCTTATTGTTGAACACTTTCAATTTCGTGGTTGGGCTACAATTGCTCAAGAATCTGTTTGGAAAGAGATTCTTTTGGAAGTCTTTGTTTGTCTAAATACCATAGGGAGCAGGGAAAGCTTGAGTGAAATGGGGGAGCATGAATTAGGAGAAAAATTATACAAAAATTTATCGGGTAGAAGGTATCTGATTGTGATGGATGACGTGTGGAGCACCGATGCATGGGATAGGATAAAGTTTTTCTTTCCGGATAACAATAACGGGAGTAGGATAATGATAACCACTAGGCTATCCAACTTAGCTTCTCAGTTGAGTGGCTCTAGTGGCCTTGAGATGGGTTTTCTAGACGAGGATAACAGTTGGAACTTATTTCGAAAAAACGTGTTTGGAGATAAGGATTGCCCTATGGAGTTGGAAGAAATCGGTAAGCAGATTGCAAGAGGTTGTAAAGGCCTTCCTTTGTCGATTGTTGTGATCGGTGGACTGTTGGCGAAGTCTAACCAGACAAGAGAACACTGGAATTACATTTTGGAGAATTTGAATTCGGTTGTGAATTTAGATGACAACGAATGTTGCTTGAGAATATTAAGTTTGAGCTATAATCATTTGCCGGTTCATCTAAAGCCGTGTTTTCTTTACATGGGAATATTCCCCAAGGACCGTCTGGTTAAGGCCTCCACGCTTGTCAAGCTTTGGGTAGCTGAAGGGTTTTTGAAACCGATTAACGATAAAACAATGGAATTAGCCGCTGAGGAGTACTTAAAGGATCTTGTCCAGAGAAATCTAGTTTTATTCGGGGAGCTCGGGTACTATGGAAATATTAAACTTTGCAGGGTCCATGATCTCTTGAGGGACCTATGCATAAAAGTAGCCGAGAAGGAGAATTTTTTCTGTGTGGCAACCACAGATAATCCTAACACGGGGCAAAAGTGGCACACTCAACGTCGAATAGGTATTCAGAGACAAGAAATGAGTTGCAAACACATTCCCGAATCACTCTGTAAGAACGTGAAATCTGCATCGCTCGCTCGTTCGGTGATTTGTAATGTCGATAGAGTTGCACCGGCACGAAGTCCCGCTCGATTGTTGAGGGTTTTTCACCGGATCAAAGTTCTTTACCCGAAATATAAATATGATCTGAAATATATGTTCCGACCGATCAACTTGCGCCACCTGGCAGCCGCAGCATGGCTCCGATTTCCGGCGAGTTTCCGCCTTTATTCTACCACCTCTGGAATTTGCAGACTTTAATCGTTGACCATGATATTTGGGGCGTTATTCCTACTCCACCAATAATCGACATCTGGAAAATGCCTCGACTCAGGCATATAAACGTCTATGATTTCCATCTCCCGGATCCCCCGAGCAACTTTGATGATTCTTACATCTTGCAAGATTTACAGACGCTAAAGACCGTTTCAATTTCCGAGTGGAGTGAAGAGGCATCCAGGAGAATTCCCAACATCAAGAAACTGAATCTAAGGCTACCGTACACAGAATCCTCGTCAAGTAATCATTACCAGCTTGATAATCTTTGCCGTCTGAATAAGCTGGAATCACTTTCTTGCAGTTTTTAAAGTGCGAAAGACCCGTTAGTATTCTGGGGCCATGACTTGGCTATGAGCCTCATTTTTCCGCATACTCTTAAGAAGTTGACATTCTCACGTGCTTGTCTCCTCTGGGAAGACTTGGCGGAAAAAGTTGGATATCTTCCGAATCTTCAGGTGCTTAAGCTGAAAATTTGTTCTTGCAAAGGATCTGTGTGGGAAACTGTTGAAGGGCAGTTCTGTAGCCTCAAAGTCTTGGAGATCAATAGTTGGCCTGACTTGGAATACTGGATGATGGAGAACTGGACCCACTTTCCTTGCCTCGAGAGTCTCATTCTTGGTGACTTGCCTAATTTGAAGGCCATTCCTCAAAGTCCCATTCTACTTGTTTTATCAATAATCAGAGGAACTGCATTTCTCCCCTCTTTAACCCACAGCAATGGAAAATGCAATTTTATTCACTAAACTTGAAACGATTATACAAAGTTCATTATGGTGTCTTCAGAAACAAGGGCTCTCAAAACCACAGTACTTGATACAATTACACAAAGCATTTGTACATCAAATTTTTTATGTACTCTTTTTTATCATGACTTTCAAATATTATCGTTATTTAAAAATTATGCTTAAACTTTTGATACATATGATACAATTCATTATGCAATGTACTTTTTTTTGTTTAAATATTTAAAAATAATAATCCATATAATAATAAACATATAAAATAAAATTCAAATATGATTTAAAACCACAAAAGGAAATATGAATTATATATTATGTACACTAATCCCAAACTGATCCGCTGCTCATCCATAACTAATCCAAAACTTTCTTCTGTCTGTGAAATTTCTATTTCAAGCAAGTTTTTACTGTTCTTCCTAACTTGATGAATGCCCTGTTACTGTTAGATACTTGTCGTGTGGATGTATATATATTCAATATGTTTATTATGCTAATAAAAAAATCAATATACATAAGGCAGATAATATTAATAAGGGGGCTGAAAAAAAAAAGAGAACAAGCTTTTGTCACGTGCTTGCTGGTTTGCACATAATCTATAGATAAGAGTCATGAATCCATATATTGTCATCACTGATTTCATCAAGCAAGCAAAAGCCATGTATAATAATAAAAAAGGATTCAGACCCAATTTTTAAAAACTCATACAACAAGAAACACACAAACATACATAATAAATCCAACACCTTAATACTAAAGACATCAATGCTGGAACAGTACATCAGAATGCCTTCACAAATTTCAGTCCAACACTCTTGTAACCTTCTCCACTTGATAACAAAATACACATACATTGTCCCATAACTTCTGAAAGAGAGCATAACACAGTTCTCTACATTTCTTATTAAAATACAATGTCGTGAGGACAGCCGAAAGCCCGACGGCGTACCCTAAAGATAGGAATACGTAAAACCAATCAATCTCTCGTTTATTACCTTCTCGGCCTAGATTCTCTGCATGCATTGGATCGAGGGCTTTATCGTCATTTCCGCAAGATATTGTAAGTGGAGGGCCACAGAGATTGTTGCCGATGAAGCTCGACTCATTCAATCCTCGAATCTGGGTGCTTTCTGGGATTCTTCCTGTCAAGTGGTTATATGACAAATTGAAGCTACTCAAAAAAGACATGGTTGTGATGCTACTTGGAATCTCACCCAATAATGAGTTCATTGAAAAATCAAGAGATTCGAGTTGCTTCATGTTTCCAATGTTGTCTGGGATGGATCCTGTTAAATGATTTCGCGACAGGTTCAGTATTCTGAGTTCCACCAGACTTGTTACCTCTCTTGGGATGGCACCAGACAAGATGTTGTTTGAAAGGTCAATACTGGTAACCAAAGAAAGAGTAGTACTGTAGGTGAGTTCTCTTCCTTTTGCTGCAATTGATGCACTCCAAGAAGACGCCCCATTGATATCAAAAAGATATGTTAAAAATCTTTTTGTGGTAATTGCAGTAAGGTTGTTGAGGCAGGTAGGTATTATCCCGGAAAGCCTATTATGAGAGAGATCCAAGATTTGTAGAGATCTTAGCTGGCATATGGATGGGGTGATTTCTCCACTAAAATTGTTCGATCGCAAAATGAGAATTGCCAGCGTATAAAATCTTGTCTTAATCCATTTCTGTATGTCCCCACCAAGATTGTTATGAGAGAAGTCGATCTTTCTTAGTTCCGTGCAGTTTTTCAGTGAAGAAGGTACGTGGCCAGAGAAATTGTTGCCGTATAGATTCAAGAACTCTAAACTTGATAGAAATCCCATGGAATCTGGTATTCTTCCGGATAATTCATTGTTGCCTAAGTTCAACACTATCAATGATTGCCATTTCAGAAAACAATCGGGTAACTCACCAGACAGGTGGTTTTCTTCGAGTTTGAGAAATCCCATTCCAATATTGATTGATGTGTTGCAGAGAAATTTTGACAGATGTCCCGAGAACGAGTTATGGGAGAGATCAAGGTAACCCACATTTTCCCCAATTGGAGGCAGTGGACCACTAAACCTGTTGGAACTCAAGTCCAAAGAATCATAATACTGTCCACGATCACTAATGGATAAAAGCTTTCCGTCGAGTTGGTTATGCGAAAGGTTGAGATATGCAAAACTCAAACTCCATAACCAGCTGGGAACGTTTCCATAGATTCTAGTACACGATAAGTCAAGTGTGAAGATACTCTCTTTCTGAGTCTCAAGCCATAATGGGATTCGAGATCCCAAGTCCCAAGACCTTAGACTTAGCGTCAGTAGTTTGAATGGTGGAATCCAGTTGTGGTTGACTTTCAAACTCAAGTGGTTTCCAGATGCACCCAAGATTTTTAAATTTGAGAGATTGGCAAAGTGGGTTTCAGTCACAACCCCTTCCAACATGTTATTCTCTATCTGAAGCACTCTCAAGTTCACAAGTTTCCCAATACTCTCTGGTAAGTTCCCTGTCAATTTGTTTTCGTACAATTTTAAAACTTCAAGGGAAAGCAAATTCCCTAATTCATGTGGAATTACACCGGATAATGAGTTATCTTCAAGATAAATGGATCGAAGACGTGTAAATTCTCCAAATTGGTGAGGCAGATGACCGGAGATTTGATTCTCTGACAAATCTAAAGATATCAAAGATCCTAAGAAACAATCTGACATGTTTCCAAACGAATCTGTTATCTCTCCTCCCAATTTATTATGAGATAAACTCAAGGTCTGAATATTGCACAGGTTTGCAATTTCTCTTGATATATTTCCGGAAAGTTCATTTCGACTTACATCGAAGAACTGGAGTGGTTTGCAAGAGTAGATCCACTGTGGAATGCTTGAATTTAAATTGTTATAGGAGAGATCAATGTGTTGGAGTTTTGTGGTGTTGCTCATTGTTGGAATTGAGCCGTGGAATGAGTTCGAACTCATATCAAGATTGATAAGGTTGCTGAGTTGAAAAATCCATTGTGGGATGTTGGCAAAATTAGATAGAAAATCGTAGTTGTTCCAAGAGAGATCAATAATGGCTAAATTAGAACGGCTAATATTGTTAACATCATTCACAGCAATAAAACGAAGACTACAAGCACTCATTTGCAGCTCGACTAAAGAAGGAAGTTTGTTGATCACCTGTTGTGCCCAGTTGGTTGCTCTGCTGAGGTTCACACCATTCATGTTGAGGTGCTGTAGTTGGGAAAGTCCCGAAATCCATTCCAGACTATCACAGTCTAACAGTGGTTCTGAATTAGCCAAACTTAGAGAGTGCAAATTTGAAAGATTTCCAATATTGTGGGAGATCTTTCCATAAAATCCAGCGAACGATAGATTCAAGTACTCGAGGCCTGTGAGCAAGCCAACGAAAGAAGGGATTTCTTCCTCAAAGTTGTTTTGGCTCAGGTCAAGATATTTCAAATGCTTCAAGTTGAGCAAAGATGGGTTTAATTTGCCAACTAAATAATTACCTTGGAGATTGAGTTGAAGAACTCGGCCAGTTAAGTTGCTGCAAACAACACCTTTCCACATGCAACAATCAAATTTAGCATCCCAAGAAGACAACATGTTTGAGGAGCCATTTAGAGATTGCTTAAAGCTTAACAGTGATTGTTTTTCAGTTTCAGGGCAAGAGATTGAATAGAGTGGTCTCAAGGAAAAGAAAAGGAAGACCGAAAAAGTAGATGCAAGGATAGAGTGTTTTTATTCATTCATCTTCATTATTTACAATTTGTACTGATGATGGTATGATATAGGAAGAGTTGGGTCTTCATTGTCCATGCAATCTACATATATATAGAAGGAATGAGCTTAACTTATTCTTGCCCATTTTATGGTTCAGATATTTCCAATTCTAAGAAATATTATTGGAATTTACTTTAGTAACTTTTCTATTATTTGTCTCAGGTGTAAAAATAATATTTATACATATTAATCTAAGTGTTACATGCACTAGCATGTATTAGTTAAGGTGTAAATCCATTGCAAACTATCAAATTGTGTGAAGACAGGCAAACACTTACTTAACTCTTCATCTTATAATGAAAGAAAGAGAAAAAAGATAAAATACTGAGCTATATAAGACGACCTTGACTTAAAAAGTTTTTTTTTTTTTTTTGTTGAAAAAGAAAAAAAAGACCTTGGCTTACCGTGAACCACTAATCACTAATCTTATGTATGCATTGGACCCATTGGTCATGCTATTGTTTTTCCACTACACACGTTTAGACAATTATCTAGCATTTTGAAGGAATAAGCTTAACTTATTCTTGCCCATCTTAAGGTTCAGTTATTACCAATTCAAAGACATTATTTCCTCACCGTGGGCCCCGCATCGACACAGTCCCTCGTGACATTTGCCAGCTGTACGGCCACATTTTGTTTTCCTAGAAAGCAAATCAACACGATTTCACGCGAAAAAAGCTGCCGAACTTTGTCAAATGCTCATGTACGTCGTCTAATTCATTCTAAATAAAGAATGTAGGACTTTCATTTAGTTGTAAGATGATCATACTTATCTACTACCACGCTAGAATACCAATGTTGCTAATTTTCATCAGAATCTCGATTTTTTCATGCACTACGATTTTCAGGACTCAATGGTCCCAGATCCATTCGAATTAAGATAGAGAAGACTCAGCAACTTCTGCTTTTCACTGGATCAAGACTTAATTAACTATTGACATTTTGATTTCCCATGATAAATCATTGCATCTACTAAATTGTTGGCTCCACTATAAAATTGAAAACAAAATGCACAATCATAGCAATGTCGTCTAATCGAATTTTTGCATCACTGATCATAAAAACAATTCGATTACAAAAAATAATTAAAAATGTTTTTAAATCCTAACACGAGGTTGTGCGAACATATTGAACTTTCAATTATATAGGCATAAGCTAATGGTGTAACTGATCCAATTATCATGTGATCAACCAATTATCATGTGCATCATTATATGCCTGAATTATCATATCATTGTATGGTCAACTCTATTGTTCTTGAGCAAAGATAAAGTTTTTATGCATTATAAATAGTACAGAGTCAAATTTGTATCAGAAGTGTTACAAAACTTCATACCTAAATCTTATACTCTGGTCTTACAAAACTACTATCCACTGGCAACCTGGAAAGCTGCAAAATGATATTGAAATGTATCAAGTAACCCATGGTGAACATCAATGTCAATGTAGAGTACCCGCTGCCAACAGTAAACAAAAATAGTGCGAGAAATTAGCGATTGAACACATAAAAGGTGAACAGATCAGCACTATTTCAAAACGTATACAAAATTATTCATCAAAACCAGTAAAAATGGAGATTTTGCAGCACACATGATCCAATCGTAGCAGCATCTGAGTTGATTATGATTTCACTACATAAAATATCATGGCACGCCAAAACTGTTTCCACCCAGTCTGTTTTCGTTAAGGTGATCTGGGATTAACCATCTGACAAGTTTTTAATTGATCAGATTCTTTATATATGAAAAAATAAAAAATGCACATATAGAAAAGTACTTTGATCGTGGAAGAAAGATGGTTTAGAGACAATGGGATCACGCATTTGAGTGCTGCTGAGGTAGAAAGGATTGTGAAGAACAAAGTCTTCTCCAGTTGAAGGTTATTTCAGTTTTCAATACAAACTCTAATATACTCGAGACTTAGCTCATGTTTGGATAAATATAAAAACTTTCCCTCTCGATTTTGTTGGGTTTATGTTTGTAGTCTTTGAAGCTAAATGTTGATCCATACACTGAAAATAGGTATGATTCTTCGACTCTTTACCGTGGTTGAGATGTTTGATCTGTTTTTCTACTACCTTATAAATTCTGTGTCCATTAGAGCAATCATTGAATTGAGGTTCTTACCATTACCTCTGATGTATTCAGCTGCAAGTGATAAACAAACTTGTAATTATGATGATATTAGTCAAACAATGAGCAGTCAGTGGTGTACTGCCATCATATGCAATATGCAATTGTCCAAATTCAGGAAAAACCAGAAAGTGCTTATGGAAGAAACCAAAAAAAACCCCATGTTATATTCGATCGTTTTGCTGTGAGACATATAATTTGATTTTAACGTCTGATTAGCATTTGGCTTCTAGCCTTCAATTTGAGTAGGGAGAATGTCACCAATGCAAAATTATCTGTGCTTATTACATCAATTTTATTGTCAGATAGTGGACATCAAGATCGTTACTATGATTTCTTTACTCCTGTCTAGCACTCTATACTTCGTAAAACTATAGTTACTATTTGCTTTGAACTGTTGACCTGGCTCATATATTCCAATTGACCTGGCTCATATATTCCAATAGGGACACGATGATATGCGCCATATAATCATCACACGATGATAGTGAACAAAGAAGAATGATAATGTTTAATCATGGTAAAACTAAATAATAAAAAAATGGCAAAAGTGAATCTGCGATAGCCAAGCCAATCAGCATACATGAGAGAATTATAATGTAAATGATAATGACATACAATGTTGCTTTAGGGTCTGACAATCCATTCTTCATGAGATCTCCTAGGTATTTTTGTTGCCTTTTCCTGCAGTAGAAGACATCTTAAGTTCTGTCCCTTCTTACGTCCACGACAATCATTTCACCTGTATAACAATGTACTATTCTAATTTCTTGTTGTCATTTTCTTAATTTTCCTTCCACTTTAGATATTTTTTTTTTTATGTTTGTAATGTTGCAAGTGTATAAGATATTTTATGAAACCACTTATTAAGTCAAAGTGTTTGATTTTGTAATGCTGCAAGTGTTGTTATGAAACCACTCGTTAAGTCAAAATGTTTAATCTTTCTACCAGTAGAAAACTTTACTTCTCTNAAATATTTGTTGCAAATGGAGCTGGAGAGTCATTGTTGACAATTCTCTTGGCATAGTGCTAATGATGGACTAGATCAAAATGGCTCAATTAAATTCTAGTGCTTCTTCTATTAGTGAAGTTCTAGAAAAAAAAATATATCAAACGGCGCAATGCACCTTGGGTCGCTACGGAAACAGTCTCCTTGTATAATTACAAGGTAAGGTCTGCGTACAACTGACCCCTAGACCCCAACCTGTTGGGAATATACTGGGTATGTTGTTGTTGTTGTAGGCGTGTCCACATTATACCATAAGAGAACTATTTGAAGTACTTTCCTTGCGACGACGCTGGGGTAAATAGCTAGTGCATTTGAAGATAGCTGGACCTTTCTCGTCCTGGATGACACATATCATGATCTAAACTATGCGACTCAAGTATATGAAGGTGGTCATGTAACAGATAACGAGAATAACCGTTTAGTAGTTAGCGAGAGTAACCATTTAGTAGTAGTCGTTGGGTCGGGATGTTTGAGAGGGGTTGAGTACTGGCTCTATATAAATAATTGGAGATCACGGTGGGACGCAATGGGAGGGGCATGATTGCAAAACGTTCTGTCCCATTACGAAACCACCTGAACAGAATGTTTTGCAATCATGCCCCTCCCATTGCAACCCCACCGCGATCTCCAATTATTTAGATAGACAGTACTCAACCCTTCTCAAACATCCCGACCCAACGACTACTACTAAATGGTTATTCTCTTTAACTACTAAATGATTATTCTCGTTATCTGACCACCCTCATATACTTGAGTCGCATGATTTAGATCATGATATGTGTCATACAGCATAAAAAGTATGAGGAAACGTCCAACTATCTTCAAATGCACCATCAATGAGCTATTGAGCTATTGAGGAGAGGTCTAACTATCTTCAAATGCACCATCAATGAGCTATTTACCCTAGGGTCGTTGCAAGGAAAGTACTTCAAATAGTTCTCTATGGTATAATGAGGACACGCGTACAACCAAAAAGAAAAATCAAAGAACTAAAGTTTTCTACTGGTAGAAAATTTAAACATTTTGACTTAACGAGTGGTTTCATAACAACACTTGCAGCACTACAAAATCAAACACTTTGACTTAACAAGTGGTTTCATAAAATACTTTATACACTTGCAGCATTACAAACAT